ATACCGAGCATGGTGACATGCTCGGCATGGAGATTCGCTGTGACTTAAATCCAAAGAATTACTTCGAAAGTGTTATAAAAACAGCCTCACGCAAACTCGGAATCCTGAACAAGGTGCGGCGTTTTTTCACGCCCGAGCAACTGTGCTTGTTGTATAAGACGCAGGTGCGGTCTTGCGTGGAATATTGCTCGCACCTCTGGGATGGCTCCGCTAAGTACTTGCTCGATGCTTTGGATAGGTTACAGCGGCGCGCAATCCGCATTATAGGCGATGAGGAGGTGAATAAACACCTCGAGCCTCTTCAATTACGCCGTGACGTGGCGTCACTAAGCGCGTTCTATCGTCTGTACCACGGCGAGTGTTCTGAGGAGTTATTCTCTCTTATTCCACCTTCCCCTTTCCTTCAGAGGACCACGCGCGCTGACTTACGTTGTCACCGTCTAACTGTGGCTACAATTCCAACGCGTACAAAGAAATTTGGTGACTCATTTCTTTGTCGTACTATCCGTAAATGGAATTCTCTGCCCGCTCACGTGTTCCCTCCCTCTTACAACCTGGGATCCTTTAAAAGAGGCGTGAAGAAGCAACTTGCAGGCCGGCAGGGTGAGGATGGCTGGTGTGGCAGTTAGAACTGCTGTATCAGCTATCTTCGCGTCTGGATTTCACCTTCACTTAACATCAGGTGGGGTGGAGTCATTTGTCGGATCTATCTATAAAAAAAAAAAACATTTTCTATGATTCTTCTTATACCTACATGCAAAGTCTCAGTCCGATCGGTTTAAAATTGTCAAAGTTTCATACAAACTTTAAACCATATTTTATCCCCTCGGGGGTAGAATTGATCAAAATCCTTTCTTAGCGGATGCCTAGGTCATAACATAACATCATCTACCTGCATGACAAATTTCAGCCCGATCCGTCCAGTGGTTTGGGCTGTGCGTTGATAGATCACTATGTCAGTCAGTCACCTTTGAGTTTTATACCTCAGATTAAGAACACTGCAATTAATAATTTATCTTTAGAAAACAACAAAGGAATATAAATATAACATTTGGTTGGTTTTATCAGTTGTTATAGCAATTGGCTTCGCATTTCGAGCAATTCGTTTTTAAGTCATACTTCTTTTGTTCAATGAGGATCCATAATGATTTTAATTCAGAATGCAGATTTGTAGAGTCAAGGATTCCATAAACTATAGTGGTTCAATTTTTGTTCTACGACAAATATTGACGAAGTAATGACCAAATTACTAAACGAATTTACGGCTGGCCGCGTGGTAGTTTTGACGTCACAGAGCTCTAGCGCTCAGGCGCGAGCATGCTTAGAGACGCTACTGAAGTTCGACCGGAGTATAGTTGTAAGGGAGGTGTATAACGAATCAAACCATGCCGTTTAAAACCAAAATTATGGTTTAAAACGGATTTTTAAGGTAACGGTTTAAAACGGCAACGTTAAACTAATAAAAACACATTTCGAGAAATTAGTTTTTAAGTCATAGGGTGCGGTCAGAGTGCACTCAGATTCAGATTCTGAAAACAAGCGCGAGAAATAAACAGTGTAGTCTAAGCAGGTTGCCTGCTTTTTCTCGCGCTTTGTTTTCTGAGTCTGAATCTGAATCAGGAGTGCACTCTGGCCGTACCCTTCGACTACACTGTTTATTTCTCGCGCTTGTTTTCGGAATCTGAATCTGAATCTGAGTGCACTCTGGCCGCACCCATACTTCTTATGAAATTTTCAATGAGGTTTTTTGAGTAATGATTTTTGTTGAGAATGCTGATTTATAGAGGCAAGAATTCAATAAAATATAATGGTTCAATTTTTGTTCTACGACAAATATTGACGAAGTTATGACCAAGTTACTAATCGAATTTTCGGTTGGCCGCGTGGTGCCTGTGACGTCACGGATCGAGCGTGCTTAGAGACGCTACTGCAATTCGACAGGAGTCAACCACGATCGAACTCGAATCGAACCGATTTCGATGATATAAAAAGTATAATAATGAAAAACCTTATTGGATCATTATACTGTGGATTTTGAGTTGATTTGGTGATCTAGTAATGATCCTCTTTACAATGTCTACTTTTGTTTATCCCAATATATTATTTTTATACAAAAAGCGTAGCATTTATAAACTTATTACTAACTTTTCATTAATAACGAAAATCAAACGGACAACATTTTATATAGAGATATATATTTAAGAAAAATAAATATTAATCACTTTCTTTACCTACCGCCAACAACCATTTTTTTCATAGGTACCTTAATTACTGTGTGCGTTATTTATTTATTTTTTAAGCATGTAACTGCTAGATGTTAAAATCGAAAGAAAATTTTTAGCACTTTCATGATTAAAAATATTTGTTTTAACTATATATGCTATTTCTTCTTTCAAATGTTTCTTAATTGTAAAGCTATTAATTTGACATTGTTGGTTACCTACAACGCGAAGAGATGGCGCTGCCTTGCAGCTTAAGAAGAGTTACAGAAAATTGGATACGGCCATCAGGGCCGCGGTAGCATAATAGTCAGTGCATTCGCCTGGACAGCGAAGGGTGCGAATTCGAGTCCCGTCTGCTGACTGGTCCTCGTGGAATTTTTTCTAATAAAATTTTCTTACGATTTAAACAACTAGCAGTTATTTGCAAAAAAAGGAAAAGTGTTTTTTGAGTATTATCCATATAAGCCTGATTATGATTGTTGAAAAAATGAAGTAATATTTATTTACAGAAGCAAACCTGCCCGAGAAACGTAAGTTGACCAATGAAATAGACAAGGAGTTCCAACTTAACCCTCCAACAGCTTCGAGAACAAACAAAGAAAACAGGGGAACAAAAAACGAAGCTCAAATTGGTGATCCAAATAAAATAACAGAATTCAAAACTGACGACAGTCTCTCTACACCAAACATTTTCACAAATAGTTACAAAAACGACAATGTGAAAAAGAACGAACACAACAAAATCATAAATCCTACAGAAACTTTTATATGCGATATCTGTAAAAATATATTTTTTTGTAAAAACCAATTAGAAAGTCATATAAATAAATCACATACTGAAATTATCACTATACCTAACAAAAATAATACCATTTCGTATGAAATAAACTTAAATGATAATAAAATCAAATTAAAGAAACACACTGGTTCTGTAATGATAAGCAACCGTGGTCATTCGATAAATAAACGCGATAGTAAGACTGGTCTGAAACAAACACCGTATAACAATAGTACCTGTGATAGAAAAAAACACTCGGGAGAGAAACCGTATAAATGTAACGTCTGTGATAAAAGATTTACTAAGAATGGTAATTTGTCCGTACATCAAAGAATTCACACGGGAGAGAAACCTTATAAATGTAACGTCTGCGATAAATGTTTTACTCAATTTAGTAGTTTATACACACATCAAAGAATTCACACGGGAGTGAAACCTTATAAATGCAACGTCTGCGATAAAAGATTTACAAGTAGTGCTAATTTATCCACACATAAAAAAATTCACACCGGAGAGAAACCTTATAAATGTAACGCCTGCGATAAAAGATTTACTATTAGTGATAATTTAAACACACATCTAAGAATTCACACGGGAGAGAAACCTTATCAATGTGATATCTGTGATAAAAGATTTACTACGTATGGTTCTTTATCAAATCATCAAAGAATTCACACCGGAGAGAAACCTTATAAATGTAACGTCTGCGATAAAAGATTTACTAAGAGTGGTGGTTTGTCCATGCATCAAAGAATTCACACTGGAGAGAAGCCTTATAAATGTAGCGTCTGCGATAAAAGATTTACTCAAATTAGTAATTTATCTAATCATCAAAGAATTCACACGGGAGAGAAACCTTATATATGTAACGTCTGCGATAAAAGATTTACTATAAGTAGTTATTTATCCAAACATAAAAGAATTCACACGGGAGAATAACTTATAAATGTACCTAGATAATATGTGATAAACAAAATAATATTAACCATTTATAAGCCATTTCTACCAACATCGAAGAATACGGGAAAGAAAGTGAGCCAACGCGCACTTGGGATAGTGATCGACCAATAATTTAGTCCTTATCGTACGATTACCAATTACCGAAGTATTGTTTAATATTTCAATCTCATGGTGTATGATTTCAGAGGGACCAAACTGAAACGTGACTTAAGTGCAAAGGCGGCCTTAGGGGGCCCCGCGGCCTCGCTTATTGCAGAACTACATTTATCGGTCGCGTTGTTCTGTGGCTCTTCAGAGAGCTATATATTTCATACATTTATTACAGTAACAACACAAGTACAGTTCTTAGTGCTACTGAATGTATGAAACCGATCGCGTTACAACACAACACGACAAATAAGTATATTTCTGTTTCAACCCAAGTCCAGTACAATCCGAAGTAGACAAAAACTAAATGGAGACGTAAATATGGTTATACCAGACGCAATAGTTAAGAGGCAATTTTAATAAAAAAAATGCAAGGAGCCATTATTTAACTAAGCGTATATCCTGTTGTGTAGACACACTTGTGGAATATACTCTACTTCCGTGTACTCTACTTCCGTTTCATCCTTATAGATATTCAAAGGTTTCATCGAATCTCAAGTCACAACGTTACTATAGAAGTTTTAATTTAATAAGAATAAAGAACCAGAGCTGTGCTAATAATAAATATTAACTACCAACCGAACGTTAAATACGTCACTACTCAGGTATTGTAATATACCGGGCAAACTTAAATCTTTAATAATGTTCCAAAAATTGCTAAACGCCCTAGTAAAAAACATCAACCGAGCTCAGCATCGAATTACCGATCTTTTGGTATCAACCCTAAGACCGACTTCGTTCAGCTATCCGTCTATTGCGTGCGACGTGCTACAAAGTTACACCTACCTACCTATCTCGTGTCAAATACTCTACTTCCATATACTTTACTTCCGTTTCATCGAATCTCAAGGCGCAACGATATTAAAGATGTTTTTACTTCAAAATATTCATAGGTTTCAAACTTTTTTGTTAGCAAAATCTTCGCTTTTTATAACAATGATGACGTGTGTGATTCTTTTATAATGACTTTGATGATATTAGTGACAATTATTATAGTCGTAGGTTCATAAATAAATATTTTGATAATTTTTCTTCATTTTGTAATTAAAAATTATATTATTAGTTAGCAGTTAGTACATTGAATTTACAAAACAACGATGGTGATCACTTACCATCACTACGAACCATTATCGAATCCGTAATATCATTGTCATATTTTGTATGGCAACTTGAACAGCAGCACCATAACGGACGTAACGAGAACTAAAAATCAGTACACATTTATCAATGACATTTCGGACTCGCAAACTATTCGAATTCGGTATTGGTTCGTGCTAAGGGTACAGATAAGCCGTCTGCTCGTTTGCCCTCTATTAACTAATGTATATAAAAAAAATGGCGTCGATTCTGGCATGATTATTTATACTTAAACTAAATTAAAGATCAGTCTCTCCTTTTCATTTTGTTTGGAGAATGACAAGGATACACTGCTGTCATATTTAAGTTTAGATTTAGAGAATCATGCCAGAATCGACACCACTATCAAGATTGTAATAATAGGTTATGTACTTGATCTCATTCTCTGTCATATTTTTGTTATTTTTAACCAGAAAATTCTGTCACATTTTTTTATAATTATAATGTAACCTCTGTTAATGTAAATAAATACATGAATTTTGCCAAGTGTTTTTAGTTAGTCAACGATATTAAATATTTAATAATAATTTTTGAATAAAAAATAACACTTTAATCCTAAGTCCTAATCTTATTTTTTTTTATATTTAATGACCTGTTAGAGTTACTGTTTAGAAATAAAAAAAAAACAAGCAAAAATTGTTAGTTTTATTTCATTATTTTGTTACGTACCGATTATAAATCAGCATGTTTTGCCGAATAGTCGTTTTTCTGTCCACTGCGAAAGTTGCTTAACTTCAACGATGGAGCCGAGCGCGCTAACTCCTTTGCCTACATACAATTTAATGATTACTTAATCAACAAAGTAGGAGGTTAAAATTTGGATGGAGGGTACCGAGTCTCCGGCAGCCTCCAAATTTTTAAGGGTACTTGACAGTTTTAAAAATAAAGTGCCAATTGTTAGCATCTATGTTTAGAATAAATATTGGCAGGTGTTTTAACTATTTATACAAAAAAAAATATTCATAATTTTACTAAAAACCCACGAAAAAGATAATAGTTTTCTTGTCTATTGTCACGTGACCCAAAACGCTTGGGATTGGCGGAGCCTAAAATGACGCCACACGCAAGTAAACTCCGGTTAAAGTGACATTACATTGTATCGTTTGACGTATATAATAACAGTCGTGTGACGTCACACACTAGTAAGACGCCATATTGTCCAGAGAAACATTTTCGCGGCAACTTGAAAATGGAGATGGATTCTTGATTTGGTTATTTTTACTGGAATACACAACAGATCATGAATATCCACTTTTTACGGACTCCATAAACATTATAGACCAAGAGCTACTGTACCCTCCGAGTAACGGTCTGTCTGTAAGGCTTAATTCTTATGGTGATGAGTCATAGCATGCTTAGTACGGTAAGCATCGTCTGGTACTCCTCAGCCCTGCACGTCATCAAGCCGTATAATTTTGGAAGTGTCAAAAAATATTAAAAAAAAACTTGTTGCTGTAAGCTTGCAACTTTACAAAATAAAGTTTATTTTTATGTATATGTTATGGGCCAAGTGATTAAATGCGGGCAGTACTCATAATGCCAGGGCAGTATGAATAATGCCCAACCATATCGGGCCAAATGATTAATTACAATCTAAACTCGCCTATTTATCACATTGCCCGGCCATTATTAATAATGCCGGACGGCTCGTGGTCCATGTAATAAGTCAGTGTTGGAGATAGCTTGAAATTATCGCTTGGACCGGGCAGTATGAATAAATTCAAAACGTTGGTACTATTGTGAAAATGTTAGATGTCTCGCCATTTTGTGTTTGTTTTGAGATCTTGATGAATATAAAATAGTATGGGCTCAACACTTAGAAAAAAAGGTAAATGTGGGTTTACAACCGTCTTTAATTCAGAACCGACTTGGTCAACCCCGACTCGCCGTGGTCTTGGTCTGCCCTACCCCTAGAGGGTTTTTAGAGCCCGGAGGCGCGGAGGGAGAGCAGCCCCCGCCTGCTGTGACAAAGCCGCAAGCATCAGGTGACCCGCACCGCCACCGACACCGCCAACAAGCCGAAGGTGTGAAGGGGAGTGATGCTTGTGATTTTTTCACGCAAAGGTGGAGGGGCTGCTCTTCCCGCAGCGCCGGAGATAAGGCAGAAGTACTGGTTCTTAGTTCCCTAGTCCTTGCATTCTAAAATATAGGGAACCATAAATTCTGAATATTAACAGATTTAATGAATTTTTCAAACAAACTGCATTGAAACTACTATAGACTATAGTTTCTAAATGTAGCCCTTCGTAAATTGATCGAAGTAAAACCGAAGACTGATTATTTAAATTTTAAAAATAAATACTAAACTATACAACATGTTTTTATTATTACTCTACCCGATTGATTTCATTACTTGTAATGCTCGGTCTATCTAACTAAGTATTCATTTGAAAGTATTAAACATGCTTCACATCAATCTGCCCAATAGACACTGGGCATTATTCATAATGCCCGTTCAATGTGATATATTGATTGGTTATAATCACATTGCCCGCTCTTATTTGGCATTATTCATATTGCTCGGGCATTAAAAATAATGCCCGATTAATCACTTAGCCCATAACATATATATTAAACACCTTCCGGTTCGCCTGGCGGGTGCTCATCGTAAACGCCTGGCAATTTTGTTTAAACTTAAAAATAAATAAACTAAATTGTATAATAATTTCAAGCTTACAGCAACAAGTTTTTTTTTAATATTTTTTTGACACTCAAAAATATACGGCTTGATGACGTGCAGGGCTGAGGAGTGCCAGACGATGCTTACCGTACTAAGCATGCTATGACCCATCACCATAAGAATTTCTAGCCTTACAGACAGACCGTTACTCGGAGGGTTCAGTAGAACTCCTACTATTAGGCACTTTGCAGACGACGGGGCGGGGCGGGCCGGTCAATTTCGCCGCGAATAATAGCACAAAGTGAATCCTATACTTCAAACGCACACAGAGGGCAAAAAGACCGCGCCGCAGGTGCCCGGCGGGCAGTGGCGGCGAGGCATGTCCGCGGCTGCCCGCCGTGGATCATACAAACCAGTTTATATGCAGTACCGCCTGACCGCCTCTGCTTTGTGTACGCGGCGCGGGCAGCCGCAGACATCGACGGGCAGACGCGGTCTTTATTGTTTCGCGGACAAAATGCCCGCCCGGCCCCGTCGTCTGCTCAACGCCTTAGTCAATAACGTGAGATCGTTTTCTAAATCTTGTCAAATACCCGATTGACACGTGGCAAGTTTATGTATGGGTGAATTTTAGAGGCTCAACTTTTGCTATCCGGAGGAAAATGTACCCTAATATAGTAGTAGTCACGGACTTGAAAAAAAGACTGACGTTACCTCGTCTAATCGTGATTCGTGAGTGAAGCAATGCGCTAGCATCACTATATAGTTTGTGGTGAAGCATGCCAATGGCCGCTCATTCAGTGCGTGCGCGCGATTTGAGGACCCAACTAAAATATTGTCAACATTGGTAAAGGTCCTGTTGGAATTTGGAGGGGCTTATCATTGATGCGGTCGTAATCTACTTGGTCGTTCTTGTTGGGGAAAAAGACGAGTGTGTTTTCTAACAAACATACATAATTCCGAAATGGATATTCTCGTAAGGGTTCGAATACCTTCGTCTATGAAATGCGGTCGGCAACTTGTCTTTTGATCTATATTTACTATAATTAAGGCCATGAGAACAATAGTGGCCTAACAATTTTTTTTACAATATCGTGTTTATGATTTTTTCCAGTTCAAATTGATCATTTTGATAGAACCTTGATAGATAGAAGAGTGGTCTAAAAGTGATACAACGAATATTCACTAGATAGCAGCATAATCACTGTTACGGTTTTTAGTCTGTGCTCTAAATTTGAGGTGCCCAAGGAACTTGTATACTAATTACAGTAATAAGTTAGTAGTATAAATCATTTCATCTTTAACAAGTTAGTTTTAAGAAAGTTAGGTACGCTATGTAAGTGACCAGCTTCTGGATCTGATCAACGGTACGATTTCAGATCCCGAAGCACTTACAGAGCGTGTTGGTGGATGGTCCACCAACACGAAAGATGTAAAATGCGATGGTGCAAAAGTATCATAAATGATTAAGGCTGTACCGGCAGTTTGGGATAGCATTAGCTTGGTTTTTCCCTTCGATCAACAATTCTATAGATAACGGGTTGCATACAAAATCAAAGCTAGTCCACGTACGTTTTAACTTATGCAGCTACATACGATTCCCAGTGAACAAAGATAAATGTTTTAAAACAGTTTAAGTTTAACCTAATACTTAACAACTATTTCACAAAGAAATAAGGTTACAAATAACATAATGTTATTTCGAACATACGACCTTTTATCTTATAAAACAAACCTTTGTTCCTTTTATACATTACTAGGGGCCGGCCTCGCTTCGCTTCGGTGTAGAGCTGAAGTGTAGACTACAGTTTTTGTTCTCAGGCTTGTATTATACACAATGACATTCATTTATGATTCTTCTTATACCTGCATGCAAAGTCTCAGCCCGATCGGTTTAAAATTGACAAAGTTTCATACAAACTTTCATTCTCTATTTTATCCCCTTGGGGTAGAATTGATAAAAATCCTTTCTTAGCGGATGCCTACGTCATAACATCTACCTGCATGCCAAATTTGAGCCCGATCCGTCCAGTGGTTAAGGCTGTGCGTTAATAGATCACTATGTCAGTCAGTCACCTTTGAGTTTTGTTTTTTTTCTTTTAGTTTTTTTTGTCCCATTCGGTGTCGAGATCCTTGGCCCGTGGGGTCCTAGCGCTATAAGGGTCAGGCCGCCTTTTTTGCTGATATGGCGCAGAAGTCCTTCTAGCGTACGTGACACACATCTGGGGTGAAGCTATAGACAAGCGGGGAGAGTCTCTGGCTATTAGCCTTGACATCGCCAAGGCTTTTGACAGGGTCTGGCACAAGAGCCTTCTCTCCAAGCTTCCTGCATACGGTCTGCCTGCTCAACTCTGCGCCTGGGTAGCTGACTTCCTGCATGAGCGTAGAATTCGCGTCCTTACGGACGGATGTAGTTCGCAGTTCATGTCAGTGAATGCCGGTGTTCCTCAGGGTTCCGTTCTATCCCCCACACTCTTTCTGCTGCATATCAATGATTTGATTCCACTTGCGAATATTCATTGCTATGCAGACGACAGCACAGTGCATGCGAGATACTTTGGACACGCGGCGGCTGGACAGGTAGAAACCATGGAGAAACGGGAGAATCTTGTCGTTGAGCTCAATCGGGCTTTAGACCACATTTCCGAATGGGGTACTAGGAACTTGGTTGAGTTCAATGCCAAGAAAACTCAGGCTTGCGCTTTCACGGCAAAAACATCGCCATTCCTTCCCCTTCCCTCTCTTCAGGGCACAACACTGGCGCTACAGAGCAATATTACCATGCTCGGTATGGAAGTTCGCTTCAGACCTGAATCCAAAGGACTACATCGAAACGTTGATCAAAACAGCTTCACGCAAACTCGGAGTCCTGAACAAGGTGCGGCGTTTTTTCACGCCCGATCAACTGTGCTTGTTGTACAAAACACAAGTGCGGTCCTGCGTGGAATATTGCTCGCACCTCTGGGATGGCTCCGCAAAGTACTTACTCGAT